CCAGCAGCGATGGCAGAGGAACAACAACAGCCGCCACCACAGCAGCCTGATGCCCATCAGCAGCTTCCCCCCAGCGCCCCCAACTCGGGGGTGGCTCTGCCAGCCCTTGTGCCCGGGCTGCCAGGGACAGAGGCCAACGCGCTGCAACACAAGATCAAGAACTCCATCTGGTAAGAGGATCCTCCATCGCTGGGGTGAAAAAGCCCAGGCACATTTCTGCTGCAAAGGGGGTGGGGGGCGGCGGATCAGGAGGCTGATGCATTCATTGAATGTGGGTTTCCCGACTTGGGTGCAAATTTGTAGGACCTCTGGTGGTGTGGGGACTTTGCATCAACCCCTGGTCTCCTTAGCCAAAATATGCTTTTACCCGGTCCTCAATTGTGAATGCAGATAAACAAGTTATTTGTGTTTTTCACTTAGTATAGAGAAATATGGGTCAAAATTAAGTAATTATTGCATGATGATAACATGAATTTGTAACTGGGAATGTGAAATGTGTTTACTCCTTTTTGTAGTCATAGAGGGAGGAAGAAGTGTATTGTGAATTTTCACCAAACAGACATTGTGGGTAAGAATATTAATATGCAGCACAAAACCTAATGTGTCTCTTCCTTTTAGTTGGGTTAGCTGCTGTTTCTGGATGTTTTTGCCTCCTTTATTCTCACGTTGAATTTCCCTTCTAGGGAGCTTATTCTTTACATCGATTGTAAATAAATGCTTCTTTAATATGAAATATTTTAAAGTAGTAGTTTACACTGTAAAGTGAATTTTTAATTTAAAAAGTGGGGAATCAAATAAATGTCTTGCCATTTCGTGTAATTAAAAGAAAAAAGACAGAAACTACAGATGAAACACTCTTGCTGTTCCTGTGTTTTCCTGTATGAGAATTTCCAATATTTGAGCATTAGATTGAACTCTTACAGACTGGTAGCAGTCTTAATAATTAAATACATTAAATTAAGTTCATCTTCTGTTAGAGCTATTGCAAATATTCTTTGAACATGAACTTGCATTGTTTTGTAGGATTTTTTTCATTAACTGACATTTTTTTTAAAAGCATAGAACTGTTTTTTTAAATGGAAAGCAATATTTGGAATTTGGTCTAAGAGATTGCTTTTAATAGATGTTTAGAATAGAATTAAATGTGATGTTAAAAAAAGGCTTGATTTTGAAAATGAACCTTGCAGGTCCATCATTTGAATATCACTACTAAAATAATGAAAACCACTTACTTTTATATTGCATTTTAAAAACAAACATAGAGCAACTGGCATTGCACTTACAGTATTTACACATTTAAACACAGTGAATTTTTAAATATAAAATTAAGGTTTGTGTTATAGAAATTTTCATTATTTTCTTGGCATGCATCCATGTTGTCATGATGCTAGTATGAAGTAGGTCAGTGCAGGCTTTACTAGTTTCATACTATGCAGTAGTTGGCAGTTGAATATCTTTCTTTCAGTTTTAATTTTAAAATGAAGTGTAAATATTTTAAAAGATTTTTTGGCTTGCCATATTGTGGCAACTTGAATAGATCAGATATATACTTCTCTGTTTGGAGGGAGCAGAGAAAGCAGGCTTTATTTTTCAGTGGATACACTCACCCCTTTTTTAAAAATGAATTACCTCCTGTCATTTAAATGAAGAGATGGTTCTTTTCCTGCTTATCATCTATATTTCCACAAAACCATGTTGTTTTGTACCACTATATGATGTGACTTAGTGTCCCTGAAATCTGTAAATTGAATGAAATACCTTGGTAAAAATTTAGATAGGGACATCCAAGTTAAAGTACTTGAGTACTTTAAAGAAAGGCAGATTTTTTAAAGTTGAATTGGTAAGATATATTTTAATATATTATGTGTACTTATGAGGAAAGAATCTTTGTACTTTTAAAATAATTGAATTGTATAGGCATTTAGTGAAATGTTTGTGTAATGAAATGATGATAGTAGAGTGCTTTTTTAAAGTAAATAATGCAATTTAATTATCTTTTTATAGATAAAAGGACATGTACACATCCTAATTATGCTGACTTTAACATGAGAAAAACTTATGAAGTAGAGTGCACTTCAGTTTTTGGTACTTGCTGTGAAAAGCTAAATGGCAACAAACGTCTTAATACCCATATATACCATTTTGTATCTTTATTTTAAAATCATAATGACTAGCATTATTAGCATTTAATTCTCAACTTTAAAAATTCTTTTTACAAAAATTATTTCCTTGTATTTGAAACTGAAATAATATTAATAATAAACATTATTGAATATACTTAATACATAGTGTCATATCCCTGCTCTATACAACTGGATTTTTATCATTGGCCAAATAAGTGTATAAAATAAAGGTGTTAAAAAATGAAAGGTCCTTCACTACCATCTTCTAAGAAATATGTACATTATCAATATTTGAAAAATGTATCTATTTAAGTATGTGTGTGTTAAATTTAAATCATTTTTAGTAGATATGACTGCACGCCATTAGGTATCTTATTTCACATTTTTGAGAGAAGTCTTTTTTACCAGTTTTTTTGATCACCTGATAATGTTCTGAGGGATTATCAGTTTTTTATTATATCCTGTATCATTCTTTGGTACCATTAATATTAAGGATTACAATTACATTCAAAATACATGTGGCATTTAAAAATCATCAAATGAGTTTTTCATTTAGGTTGATCAGTTTTTAAATTACTGAGCTTGCAGGTCACAAACAAGTCTGTACTTGTCCTCCTACTCCATAAATATAAATATAGTTTGTGATGTAGGCCTTTAGTTGTACAATGAGTTATTTATTATCTCAGTTCATAATTAATTTATTCTTTTTTAATAAATTAAAATGCTATTTGATGAAAGTATTCCATTGTAATTTAAAATATTAAATAAGTCTTCGAAAAAAGAATAAGCATTCAAAGTTGAAACCATGACACTTAATGAGATTGATAACTTTCTTAAGAGTTGAAAATGTGTATGCTTTAAGTTTTTCAAGAAAATAAAGACATGGCTCACTTGTTAGTGTCTTATGTTTGTTATGATTTATGAATATATCTTCAACATAAGTCCTGGTTAACAAGCCTGTATGTTTCCTCATTCCTATTCTGTAGACAAAAGGTCCAAATCACTTACAATCCTCACTTGAAAGGAGATTTATTTGTAGAGGTATATTTAAATATGCTGTAAGAATGGTATTTGTATTTTTTAAACAGTAGAATTTTAAAATAAACTTTATTGCATTAGAAAAAAGAAAACTAAAAAACTCATGTCTTTTCTAAAGGAAGACTCATACTGGCAACAGAAAACAAAGGTATAACCCCATCTACTTGCAGACTTCTTTAATTTATATTTCATCCCTTTTTGGCTACTTAAGAATATCAAAGCAAGTTTTCCCTTCCTCTTATCTCCCAGTATCTTCAGAGTTCTCTATTTAGTTTAAATAACAACAACAAAAATTTACTGTTTTTCTTTTCCTTTAAAAAGAAGCTTTACTTGAAACTATTATAGAATTGGAATGGAGAAAATAGGATGGAAAACATTACATTTGAGATGGCTTCATTCTATTGATGAAAAGTTATGTTTAAGACTAGATCATACTTATATGGATTGGAGTGGCTAATATTTTTGCCGTTAGGCTATAGCATAGATAACATACTTACCAAGACATTAAAAAGAAGGTTCAATATTTTATTGTAGAAAACATTGTAATACTCTACTGAAAAAAAATAGAGATTCTTAAAAGAGTTAGCAGTTGCTGTTTTTATTTATGTAACTTTATTTGCAGGTAAAACCTTATAAATCTTTTCTTCAAACAGTCCAATAAGCATGTAGCATTCTTCTACCCAGTTTATGGAGAGAAATTGAGTGTCAGGGAAGCTATAGGATTTCTTTTGGCAAACCCTGGAAGCAGTTATGATTGGGTCAGAGTTTCTTGTCTTTATTCAATTCTGTAAGTCATACAACTTGAGTCTGGTACATTTTAGAATTAGAATTACAATCTAAAATTTTTTTATGTGATCCATTTTGGATATTTTCTGAGTTCAAATTTAAGCCCAAATTGACTCAGTTTTGTTTTACTTATTGTGATGACAATAAACATCTAGACATTAAGTGATTTCTTGTTTCCTTTTTAGTACGGTGAGCATACCCTGGTAAT